TGACAGTGATTCACGAAAAGACAAAACTTAGATTCTCCGGGAATGTGAGGACAATTGGCCACAGTTGTGGACAATCACTTATGTTTAACACAATTAAGGCACTTAATAGATCAGAAACACACAGGGGAAACTTTAAAGTCTTATAAATAAGGGAAGTTTAGTAACACTGATGAAAAACAATAATAAACACAGACAAAGACACTCATATAGTGTAGATGGTAATTTCAGCACTCCAATGGGTCCCATGTGAACCCAGAATGCAGTGTTTTTACTTTGCCATTTGATTTTAGCTAAGACCATCCTTTTTAACCTGTTTGTTTTGGTGTCTAAATTTAATTATGTGGTTATGTTGTCAGAACTAAAGAGAGCTGTGTTGGTGCCTGAAGCTGGCTAAATAATGACAACAGCTAAAACATGTTTTGGAATCAGCATGGTCAAAAACAAGGTCAAAGTGTAGCTCCATCATTATTGCATGATTTTGTGTTTTTCATGGCTAACATACTCTTTGAGGGAACAAATCTCAGCTGTTTTACTTCCCAAACTGTGGTTGAAAATACAAAGGGCTCTATTTTGAGGCGGCGGAGGGCGGCGAGCCCCGCGCAGTTGTATTTTCGTCTGGCGGAGCCCGGCATAAGGCGAGTTTGGTATTTTTGTGGACTGAGTCGCACGGAGGCGAGCCGAGATCCGCCAAGCTGGGCGTGGTGGCGTGGCAGGGGGAGGTGTTGACAGAATCAGCTGGCGCAGTGACATTTTCGTGCTCGCCACTAGCGTGTAACGTGCGCTGAAAGCTCGCCGATTCAAACCTGGTCAGCTTTCAGCGCAAGGCAGAACGCAGCTGGTCTAGTAGTATTTTGGTAGACCGGCGGCGTATCGACATACGTCACCGATGCCTCACCGGCAGGTTTCCACAGTGTCAGGCAGATTTCAGTGCATTAAATAATCATCAACAACTATTAATCTGAGTCAGCACATACATTTAGATCTATATCGATATATTCTGATCTATATCTGATCTGATGAGCGCGTTTGGCACGCGTTTGGGCACACAAGCTGACCGAATCAATACAGCTGAAACTGCATCAAATTAAATTAAATATCTAGTAAATAAACACACATGATGAAGTTAACAAGATATGTAATGTGTCTCCCTCCTTTTCTTTCTTCCTCTTATTTCTCGCACAGCTAGACCTGGACACGTCTCCGTGTCCTCTGTCCGTCTTCCTGCTGCTGCTGCGACTGAACAGATGATTTGTTTCAGTGCTCAGATGCGTTATCTACTTTAAGCCGACATACGAATATTATAATATTCGGTTTTGTGGGCCAAATTTATTTTATATGCCAACATCTATGAAAGAAAGAGCCAGGCCACGGAGCGCAAGGCGTCATTTACGCACAGATGGTTCCGATTTTAATGCCATTTTTGGAGTTTATGTTGTGATCTGTGCGCTAAACCCACCTTTGTCACGTGAGGTTTGAATATATGCAACTTTATGTGAGTGTCTTTATTTGTGGAAAAGGGTATTTGTCTTACCAGTGGGTCCAACATTACGCACACCAAATCCATCTGTGCTCAGATGAGAGAGTGTGGAGGACACTTGTTGAGCAGCTGCCCTCTGTCGCCATCGTGTGGCATAACTGTCTTCAGACATCTCTTGATCTCTTTGACTACTTCATGAAAATAGTAATACGCCTCGCCGGTGGCGGATTTAAAGGCGAGGAGAGGAGCTAATGTGATTGGTGAAAACAGGTCTCGGCTGTGTTAAACACACTATACGCCCTCTCTCCTCCCCGTCTACGACTTATGCTGCCGGGAGGAGCTGAGTTAGGGAGGGGGGATACTTACGCCGGGCTGCACGGCTCACCAAAATACCAAAATGTGCTTGGGAACGCCTTGTCAGCGCGGCGGATCTGATTGACGCTGCGCTTGCGGCACGTCTCTGGCGAGGCACCAAAATAGAGCCCAAAGAGTTTATATTGGCATGTTTTACACTGAACCTACTTCCCAACCACTGCCTGGATTTAATCTGATTGTTTGAACTCGGTAAATCATAACTGAACATTTTGCTTTAAAGGGATATTCTGGTGTAAATTTAAGTCATGATCAAACATACCGTACCACTTAGTTAGAGAAACCCCCTGAGAGGTGAATGTTGCCGACCACTTGCTTCTCTAGTTGTACCAACTTCAGTAACAACTGTACGATAGCACACACAGCAGTCTATGTCTCCATGCGCACACCTCAACCAATAAAAGCCACTCTATAGCCACAAATAATGCTCAGAACAGCACCTAACTTCATCAACTGTACATATAGGGTCCCAGTCATAGTACTAGCCACCAAACATCTTTTTAACTTTGCCTGGTTTCTTTAGCAAAGGGACTAAACACTACTCACCCACTCTCTTCCAGCAGCCGCTTGTTTGTGGTGGGAGCCCTGACGAGTCGATCACCGAGTTTCTCAGCTCAAGGAAGAACATTTATGATTATTACTTCATGGAAATGCAATCAGAGTTCTTGTGTATCTTGTATGTGCACTGTAGATGTGGTAGTTCCTCTGCCTTAGTGTCTCAGTATATATATACTGTTGATGAATTTAGGTGCTGTTCTGAGCATTATTTGTGGCTATAGAGTAGGTTTTTGGTTGAGGTTTGCACGTGGAGGTATAGACCGCTGTTGAGCGGTCGTTGCTGAAGTTGGTATAACGAGAGAAGCAAGCAGTCAGCGACATTCATCTCTCAAGGGAGTGTCTAATTCGGTGTTATGATGTGTTTGACGATAACTTAAATTTATGCAGGAATATCCTTTTTGTTCATTATAAACAAAGAAAATGTTTACATTTTATTGACTTACAGTATCCATACCAAGATGTGTGTGCATATTGCAGAGACAGGTTGAGTAGTTAAGTACGATAACCCATAGCATTGATCCATTGTCCTCCCTGTACTGATCTCTGAAGTATTTAGACGGTGCATGTTCATGTTTGTGGCTAGAGTGGCTTTAGCATTTCTTTCACATGGATTTATTAAGAATTCAGCTGACCTGATGCAGATGAGAGGGGGGACAGTCAAAAGTGGCTATCCTGTCTGAGGTTTGCCTTTGCCTCCTGCAGCTTGCTGTGGAGATACTGTCAGTTCCTACAGACCTGATATCAATGTTGCATCTCTTCCTGCATACACAACAGTATGTTGAGTTTATTTTTTGGATTGCACAAGCTAAACACAATTGTTAAAACTGAAATGAAAGAAAAACATTAGACCTTTGCAGCAACTCAGTCCTGGGGTTTGAAAAAAAAAAAAAAAAACTCTCTCAGTTTGACACACTAAAGCTTTCCAAACTTCAAAACAGCTTGAATTAGGACTGTCATGGTATCAAATATTCACTGCATAATTATAATCATAAAATGTCACAATAACAACATTATCACAATGTTCATGAAAGCTTGATATAATACATCTTCCTCTTTCTCCATTTCTGTGATGTATAGCACTCTGTGTGACGGACCACAACCAAGAATGCACTCTTTTATTGTGTGCTTATTTTGAGCACAATGTCAATCTTTCATTGTTTTTGAAACATGGTTATTGTCAGTACACTGTATACTGTGACAGCCCTCATTTAAATTCACTAGAATAATGTTGATTCCTTTGACTTATTATTTTCCATCTGCTTTTTAACATGACCAGCACTGTACCAGCAGCTTATGACTTCACATCTTCACACAAAAGGCTCCTAAGGGGTGATAGATCATGTTGCCATTTGAGCAACAGAAAATCTCTGTGGTTAAGACACAAAGATAATAATATTAATAATAAAAACTACTTTATGTTGAATGCATCTCTTAAAACTAAAGATATAAGATTCCCCACAGATTCTGTTGTTGGTGAATATTTAAACAGAAATCTTAATTCAGTTATTCTTAAAGGGCTCCAAAATGTGGGTGCTGTTGCAGATTTCCTATTCATACAGTTACATTTCTTGGAGGAGGGCTTTATAGTTTATAGCCTACATCCAAAAATAATCTTGAAAGAGAAAGCAGAAAAAGATAGTATCCTTATTCCACGGTTTTTTAGGGCAATGGATTTTCCCTTATTGTTTCATGTGTATTCCTTGTCATGTATATTTTCTGGGTTTTTATTTATTTATTCATCTTTTCTCTGAAGTTAAGCTATTTCACAAGAAGCAATAAATCAGTGAAGGCTGAGTGGCATGACCCTAAGAGCAATAAGAAAACAATGACACAGTCATTGGTTTCAGCCTTTATTCTGACAGAACATCACCCCATGGGGATTTACATTAATCGATTACAAAGTAGGACCTTGCCAAGTGGCAAGAGAGAACAGCCTTCACAAAAGTTCAGTATACAAACAACACAGTTAATCAAAATCAACATGCATAGTAGTATAAAACCAAATACATATTGGGGGAAAATGCAACAAAGAACTCATTACCTATTTATAATATAAAACTACCAACCTTTTAGCACTTTCAATGAGAATGTCTTAATAACCCAACATGGAAAAAAAAACCCTTCTCCTTAAAAAGTAATGAAATAAACAGATGATATATATATATATATGCTCCATTATCAAGGCATCCCTTCCCGTCCCTCACTTGAGTGGGATGGTTCGCTGACTGCTGCCAGTTCTCTTGGAGACATAGTCAGGTGTGTTTGTTCTGCTTGGCTACTTCTTTCACTCATCTGACTATAGTGTTTTTCCTGTGACACGTATGATGCACACCCTGCATCTCTACGTCATCGCAGACAATAATAAGCAGCTACTCTGATGTGTGAAGGTGAGTGACATTTAATGTTCTGCAAAATTGAAGGTGAATTTATTTCACTTTATCGTTGCTAACTTGAGATAAAATACACATTTGTGTTTTTTCTTCTAAAACTCACAACGCATAGTGATCATCTTTGATAAAAAATACAAAGTGTAAATATACAAATCATGATTAGACTGTACAGTACAAGAGTATAATACAGGTAAAAATCACAATCACGCATATAAAAAGATGGAGGCATTGTGTCCTGCATGCGTCCTGTTTTCAGACACAGTTTCTTCTGTGTGTCCAGTCTTTGGAAAACGACATTCACACAGTATGCTTTGGATGGATGTCAAAATATAGTTTAAAGTCTTGATACTTAAAGCAAACATTACCGGCCCATGAGGTATTTGAACAATGACTAGATTATACACCCATATTGCGTTGACCAGCACAAAAGCACTGACAGCGGAGTGAAACCAGTTTCCAGTGATATCAAAGGCAACAGTATGGCAGAGGAGGGCTTTCTGACTGTCAGACATTAGCAGGGACCTTTTTGCAAGTCAGACTACTTTGTAGGCTCAGTACAGTAACACATAACACTAGAAACACAATGACAAACTCTGATAATATGATCTTATTAGGATAAAAGCTGTACTGATGTGATAGCTTATAGTTTACTCTTAGTCTCAGTTGCAAACATTTCCTCAAACTCAAAAGGGAAAAAAATATCAGACTGTAAACTACAACTTTAGAGTAATAGACGAAAACACAAGTGTACAGTACAAAGGTAACAACAAATCGCAAGGATCATGTCTAACACTGATGGACGGAGGAGAAAAAAAGTGATATGTGTGACGTTTCCTCTCCGTTTGGTTGTAGAAGACTGCAACATTCAGTTATTTATCTTGGGAGTGATTTGCTGCTGAGAGGAATGGCCTGACGAAGCCTGCAGCATGATGGGAGTTAAAGTTTTGTAGTTCTGTTTGCTGCTCTTCTTGACCAAAAAGTCTTACATGAAACATTGAGAACAAAACTACTGAGTGTCAAATAATTCTAGAATAGTGTTTGTGTCCCCTCTGTCCAATATTTTGGTTGCCATCTATAAATTCATTATTGCTTGTGCACTAAAACCTTCAGCATTGCACTGTGACCCAAGTCTGACCATTTAGGCCTCGGGTCTAAATGTTCTTACACATCTGATAGTCCTCTCCGCACATTCACAGATTCACACTAAGATTCATCTTCACAAAAACAGAGAAACATTTTCCGGCTGCTGCAAAACAGACAAGTGTAAAGCCACAGCATAGCAGTTTGGTAGTCAGACAGTAGCACTGGCTGCTATCTGGAAACAGAATCACCATGGTTTTTGTGCTCTGATTGTACATGTAAGCTAAATTTACGAGGTTCAAAACTGATTTTTTAATATCAACTGACAAGCTAAGAAAAATCACCACTGTTGCATAGTAAAGCTTGAAAAAGCACAGATCAAATCACAAATAAACAAGTTAATAATTAAAAAAGGTGCCCGGGAACATGGCGGTGCGCACAAGTTCTTTGGGTGGCATTCTTTGTTCTGGAGTGAAAGGGTTGCGCCATGCTAAACATAGCCTACCACTACAGAGGTACAGACTGAGAGAGAAGCTAGGCGCACTCAGGGTGCAGTACAGTGTTGTGAGCTACACACCAGCCAAACTGATGAAGAATGGAGGAGACGGCTGGGTGTATTCCTGTTTTTTATTTAAGCAGTCTGATTGACCTCTCCTACATAAAGTACATTTTCAGTGATGGTGACAACCTTATCACAGTGTGTTGTAAACCAACGCATCATCACACTGTTGGACTCACTTTCAGTCCTTGTGCGGGTGTCTTTTTTGTCATTATGTGTGCCACAGTAAGGTGGTCTTCAGGAACTGGATTACCATGGGTCAAAATGGAAAATTCAAGGCGGTGTCTTGTTTTCCTAAAGAAGTATGACAAGAATATTCTAATTTTTTGAAGCTGCATAAACTGATAAAATCTGTTCCCACCGAGGAGAATCTGATAAAGAGAAGTGATAGCTAACTGTATTGTGAACATTTAACTCTAAGTCGAACGAAATGAACACTTTAGAGTGTTTTAACCTACTCCTTGTCTTTTGTGTTTTTAGTTTTGGGCTTAAATGTTTAGTAACCACCTTATATGTACAAATTCCTGGACTTTTACTTGTACTCTTTCCAAAGAGCCTATTTTTTTTGTATGGTGTAAAAAATAATGAAGCAAGGTGCAAGAGAGCTCAGATCACATGCTTATGTAAATGTCGTCACCACAATTTCACTGTGACACTGCACAGATTCAGTACATCATGTCCAGCCTTCCAGTTGTTCCCCCTCTGTGAACTCATGCTTAGCAGACTAACATATCTGCTCCATCAAGAGCCCATCTTCTCTCTCCCCCTGAGCCTTTTCAGCAGCTGGTGGTGTCCAGTAGCTGCTTGGCAACCGACGGATCTTCCTGTTCATTGAGGGTCCTCTTGTGGACTGGTGCACTTTCTGTTGGTTTCTGCTTGCGTTTGATCTTGAACACATCCCAACTCTCAGGCAGCAGGCCCTTGTTGAAAATGATGGATGCCAGCCAAGAGACTATCAGGATAGATGCGAGGGAAATTAGCATGATTGCAGTGCGGAAGGGGAAAAACTGTGTCATCCTCCCCTCTTCGTCTGGCCTGCAGCCTGGGAACTTGATGGCTGGTGGGAGGCCAATGAGGGGCTCTCCGCTGAGAACCCTCATGATGATTCCCATCAGGTAGCCCACACTGGCTCCGTAGCCATTGGACACCTTGAAGAAGAGGATGCAGACCAGCTGAGGGAACATGATAGTGTAAGACATATCCACGCCCACGAGCCAGAAGACCAGAACACTGCTGTCCAAGAAAGTGAGGGCAGTGCCTGCCAGGCCCACAACCACCACTGAGATACGAATCACCCACTGCATCTCACGGTCTGAGGCCTGCAGGAGAGGAGAGGAAGGGGACACAAGAAAGACCAAAAGAATTCAGACTCACCTGATACCCTGTTACACAATCTAAAAACCTAGGGACCATCTTGAGGTCTCCTACTCGCCTTACAAAACCAGAATCCAGTCACAGAGCTCTACAACTCTATACGGGCTCACCAGTAAACAGGCTAATTATATGGAACATTCCTAGGGGGTGAAATAATGAACTGGATCATTGTTATATGAGAATAAACATCATAAACATGGCTCAGTAGTGGGCTTACTGTAAAGAATGTGCAGTATCATATAGTCAATAGCCACTTTGTTGCTGCCTCCAGCTTTTGCCGTGATAGTACAGTGTAGTGACAGAGTCTCTGGGCTGTAAATGTCCTGGGGCTGCCCACACAAGACAGATGACTTGTTAGAGTTAGATTTATGTCTAGCTGTTTTTTTACACAAATAGAGACAAGTTAATGATCCTCAAAGGGAGATTATAACATTGCGTGCTTTTCATGAATAAGCAAAGGTCAAATCTGATTATGATATCATCAGAATTTTCTCACAGCAGCAGAGGATGCTAAGTAGGTTTATTGTGGGAGTTGTCTTGGAGTGCAGTCTCACTTGACAGAGCACATTTATTGCATTCTTTTGGAAACATAACACGTCAGTAAACACAGCAATGACAAAATGTGTCAGTGTCAAGACTACAATCAGACTTTTTGACTTTCATTTGAGCAAAAATACTCGCTCAGGTATGCAGATGAAAACTAACGACAAAATAACACGTTTAATGTTTGTATGAACTATGACACTGTTTGAAAACTAAACAGTGATTAGGGCACTACATCAGCTGTTAGTAGAGCAAAAGTGCCAGCCTTCTCTGCGGCCTTCGACTTGCACTCATCACATGACTTGATGTGACGGAACTTCCTTTGAATCACATGTTAAATCACACTGGCTCAAGAGTCAAAAGTAACAATAGAGAGAACTAATCCTATTATTTTAAGATGATGCAGTATAATTTCAATATCCTCATGTAAGATCTGCAGCAATTATTGGATCAGGCTTGAAAGCATCAAAATCATGACTTAGCAAAGAGGCCAAACAGCTCTTATTCACTAAACCAGGGGTCGGCAACCTTAAACACTCAAAGAGCCACTTGGACCAGTTTCCCACAGAAAAGAAAACACAGGGAGCCACAAAACCTCTTTGACATCTAAAATGAAGATAACATTGCATATATCTTTTTTTTTTACCTTTATACAAAGTATATAAAAAACTGTAGCGAATTGCATTTATGAAATAAATGAACTATTTCGGCGAGTGTCTGTCTTCTTCTGTAGTTAAACCGCAAGATATCAAAATCTACCCGGATACAGCAATGCTGCTTTTTGGTTGGCTGTTCAGTAGATATACTTTATTTGATTGGCTTGTGCGTGGCACGCAGCTTCTGAACTCTCGGAGTAACTCAGTTGATTTCCCCCAGTTCCATAGTTGAAGAAGTGCAACTTGGTGGACATCACCGTGTTCATTTAAATGCGTGAGAAATACAATGTGTGGTGTGTGAGCGTGTGAACGAGTGGGAATGCGTGTGTAATACGCTGAATGCGTGAGACTTGAGAGCCCTGTGCTCACGCATCATTGATGTACTCCCGAGCCATGCAAAACGGGCTTTGCAAATGTTGCACTGAACGCCTTCCTTTTCAGTCTTGGTGAAGTTTTCCCACACCACTGATGTTTTAGGTCGGGATTTGGGTTGGGTTGTGTCCATGTTTTTCTCAGCCGCTGCCTCGGCCATGGCTGTTTCTTTTCTGTGCATGCATTCTGCTGATGTTTACACGCCGGTGTCCATGGACATATATAAAGACCCGACGAATCGATTACAGAATTTGTTGGCAAAGGATTTTTTCGTCACGACGAATCTACTTAATCGATTCGTTGTTGCAGCCTAAATAGTTTATTTAATGTTACAAGAGCATTATAATCTTTGAATTTAGAATTACAAAAAAAAAAATTAATAATAAAATAAAATAAAATGCAATTAAGTATTTATTATTTATTTTCCAAATCCATTGGGAGCCGCAGCTTAGGGAAGAAAGAGCCGCATGCGGCTCCAGAGCCGCGGGTTGCCGACCCCTGCACTAAACCTTTGTGTGTTAACCTTTCTTCCTCTTTGTTAAAATAAAAGTATGGTGTCTTGAAGGGTGAAAAAATAATTCTGCACTGACATCCTTCTCACCTGTTTTCTGATGATGTTCTTGTAGATGTTTGAGGAAAACAGCGAGGCGGAGGATAGAAGAGCTGAGTCCATGGAGGACATCACAGCAGCAGCAACAGCTCCAATACCAATGACAGAGACATAGGCCGGTGTGAGGAACTGCAGGGCGATGGGCAGGATGGAGCCAGCTTGTCCACGCTCGTATGGGGTTGGCAGTCCATAATTGGTTGAGTTCCAGTCTGGGGAGGGGAGGACAGATTTGGGTGAAAATTGAAGGAATGTTTAATTGATTGTGGGGAAGGAGAAATGATCAAACCAAGCATTACACGAAATCTGATAACCAGAGCTTAATTCAATGAAACGATGAGAAAAATGCGACAACTGTGCAGTGACTCCAAGCCAAGGACGGCTGAGTTTAGACTTCTCTGGAAATGTAAATCAGTAGCATATACCTGTTGATGCAGCCACAGCCCCGACCACCACAGAGGGGATACCGAGTACCAGGCAGAAAGCTGATGAGGCAAAGCAGGTCACTTGAGCCTGAGTGTAAGACGAAGCTGACAGGATTCTTTGGTAGAACGCCTGGTAGGCCAAACCGCCCAGAGCCTGGAACAAACACATGGTTGAGACATGATGACAGGAATCAGTCTTTACAGCCACACAGGACTGGGAGGAGCAATCCTCTTATGACCCTGCTGTTGTTGTGCTCAGCTGTTTACACATCTAATGAAATCAGACCATTCAATTGAACTGCTGGGTCCCTTTTAATTTAATTTCTGTAATGGCTGGAGTCATGTAAATACTAGATAAGCTGTCTTTGAGAAAACATTCAGGGCTGTCTGTGTTCGTGTACATAAAGAGTTCACACACTCACCAGCAGCATGAAGTCATCAAACCACTTGCCGGCCTCATCAAGCTCCACCGTGCCGACCCAGGGAGCCTGGAAGGTCTGGTTGTAAGCCGTCAGTGAGATGTCCACAGAGTTAGGGTTGGTCAACAGGAAAGGAACACACACCCACTGTGTACACAAACACAAGAACACAAATAATCTGATTATGGGCCCAGTGGAGGAGGTTTTAGCTCTGTCACTGGAAATTAGGTGTCTGTACCTTGCTTGAGTTTGGTTTCCGGGGGTTTTCCACACTTACTTTCATAGCTTCCTATCATATTTTGTTTGGTTGACAACGACCAGTATATCAAGACAAATATAACCTTACCATGGGTTCAATAAGCAGCATTTGGAGTTTTAATCCCATCACATGGTCTCAATCAGCTGATGTTGTTTAACAAGACCAACATCAGCATGAGAAGTAGCTAAAGGACTAACAATATTAATCTGCATTTTTCATGCTTCTGCTTGAAATCATGTGATATTATTGAAATTTCAAGAGCAACTTCTCCATGAATACACTGATGGGAGTGAAAAATAATCGGCATTGAAAGCAAAAAAGTTTCTTTATGTGGCTTGTATGACGTGTTTTACTTTCATTATACTGCACAAAATTGATTAGATTATGCTCTCAGCGTAACCCGTCGATTCATAGATACAAAAGTTTAATGTTGAGTTGATTTAAAGTTACTGCTTATCAGGCTAGACTGATAAACATCTTTGAAGGTTGAAACTTTATTTATTAAAGCACAAACCAATCCCTGAACAATGACAGTGATGAAGTGAGGATACAGTTACTTATATGTGAGCTAATCCTGGTGTTTTCATAGTTGTACTTTCACTGAAATTTGTTTCTCTTTTACTGGACGCCTGAGGCACTCCAGAGTTTCCACGCCCTGTTTGTTAAAATCGGCTGCTGAATCAACCATTACTCACCAGACTGACAAAGATGAGGATGAGCTGGATGACATCTGTGTAGGCCACAGAGTAGAGCCCTCCTAGCAGTGTGTAGATAATGGCTACAACTGAGGAGATGATAATGGAGTAGACGTAGGACAGGTCCAGGATCACACTCATAGTTCCACCTGGAACAACAAAGCACAGGGATGAGTATCGCATGATTATCAGAGACAAACACTGTTTTAGCAAGTCATCTAATTTACAGCAGTTGGTAGCAACTGATACATGCAACTGCTTACTGTAGTAATTAACTTGTTTTATTAGTTTCTCAGTCTCTCTTTTTCCTTTTAGAAGTCTTTCTCTCGCACAGACACACATATATATACATGCATCCACACATAGGTAGTAATATTAAAGATTGAATTAGAAGCTAGCTTATGACATTAACATGTCAAACCATTTATATTTCTAATTGCAGAACTGAAAAACTGAACAGATAAAACCAAAAGCAAAACATTTCATTTCTAGCCTTATAATTCAGTGAGTAGGTTTCACTTGGGAATGAGTTTCTTTGATTGAAACCACTAGAAGCATCCAAAAGCTTTGATAATGCAAGCCAACAAAACTGACAATAATAAAGTTATCAAAAACAGAACATGTAAAAGAAGCAGCCTATTGATTGTGATTCCAAATAAAACTCTCACCCTTTAGGGTGAATTATCACCCTTTTTTAAAAAGTCTTAATGAGTAAATTTAAATTGTAAGAATGATGAAGAAATAAGAAAAAATGAAGAGAAGAGTCTTCAAGAAATGAAATGGGTTCAAAAGGGATTTGTATTTATATGCAAATTTAAACAAATGAATAAACATCTTGTTACTCAAACAAGGCAAGCAAAACGTCACTACCTTCACCGTCTCTTCTGCCACATTGCCAGGGTCCCCCCAGCCGCAGCCTGCAGCCACACCACAACAATGCCCTTAAACAGAGAAGTGTCAGATCGGCACCATCGATCGCCACTCACCCCCCTACTGACCTTTTACCCTCCTACTGACCCCCCACCCCACCCCACTCCATCCCCTCTCAACTTTCTCCCTCCCCCACCACAACTAGCTTTGCACCATTCTAGAGGATGCATACCTGGAAACCCATGAGTTTCCCATTCTTGAAATCAAATCTGTTACCCGGTAAGCTTCTTGCTGGTGAGTCTTTTTCAGCTGCTATGTTGTATAATCCGAAATATTTTTTTAATCTTTTCTCTGAAGACAGACAAACCCAACACTTGAGGAAACAAGATAGTGGATACTACATTTATAAACCACCTGTTCACACTTGGCACAGCAATGCATCTAAGCACAAAATGCAGACGGTGATACCGTTAGAGTTTTTTAGTGATACAAATACATATGACCACATTAAGAGGAAATTCAGTTTGCCTAACAACTCTGAAAAAATTCAATAACTGCTACTGTAATGTTTTCATTTGGCTTTTATGTCAGGCCATATTACATAATTTTATTTTGAAATAGCCAGTATGTGTAGCTTTATGAGTATCTTTTTTTATATATGGTTGTGTAATTGGTTGGCTGTGCAAATAGTTCCCGATCAAATGTTATCAGACTCTAACCACAAATGGTCAGTGGAGATGCACTCTGGTGCCATGTGTGAACTGAAATCCATGTCAGCTGATAAATCTGGATAATTCCCTCATTCATACCAGGTCTTGTGTTATTTTCCTGTGACAGAGCTTATGGTAGGGACATGATGCAACCATATCACTGTAGATTAAATAATTCCCAGATGGGCTGTTTTTCATTTATAGAACTGGATCTAATGTTTGTTCTATGCTGAGCTGTGCTGTTCCCCTCGAGCTAAATTTAGGGGAGGGGATGATGGTAAGAGATTTAGGGGCCTCTGGATGTAATGGGCAGCACCAGGGATGGACAGAAAGAAGGGGCTGCCCAAATACCCTGCGTTGTTTTTAGATCCATGGCCCAGTTTCAAACTCATGCATGTGCGTGCATGCACACACACAGACACACTTATAACCTCTCTGTCCCATCCCAGATTTTTCCCAGAAGAAATTTGACCATGACTGTGTACTGTTGATATGACACAACTAACAACACATGGAAAGTGTGTTTAAATAAGTTAAATAACTTCTGGCACTAAACCACCACACACACACACACCCACCCAAGCTGACCATAGAGCTCAGTTTATACTGAGCTCCACACACACACACACACACACACACACACACACACACACACACACACACACACACACACACACACACACACACACACAGATAAACAGTAACCGAGCAACAACGCCCCTGTGGTGGGTCAAATTTATAGTGCACTCTCAGGGGTGGTGTTAAGTGTTTAAGTGTACGTGTATGTGTATGTGTGTGCGTGTGTGTTTGTGTGTGACGTGATGCGCACATCATGGATATATTTGTAGCTGTCCCAGAAAAAAAAAGACAGCAGGAGGTTTTCTTGGAGGTGAGGGAGTGAGGGGTCTCCTGAATCTAAAATGGTTTTATAGTTTTGGACAGAAATGTCCCAAGAACATTCCTGCCATCTACCAGTCCTTTTGTGGAGCCTCAGCACAGCATGAGGTGCTACCATGGTCATGCAATTTTAAGGATACGATGGATTTCATTGGTTTCTTTGATTTTTAACATTATCTTACACATATTCAGAAAGGATGATTTCAAATGTACCATTTACTCTACTGGTGATTCAGTGCCTCAGCAAGGAAAATTAAAAGAGCCTTGAATAACACAATAATCTGATTTTGGTTTGAATAATTGATCACATTTCACAATCAACAGGCTGCTCGATGTTTAACCCCCTTTTTCAAATAACACTGGAAAAAAAACAGCATTAAAAACACACAGGTAAACAGTTTGAAAAAACCCAGCCACCAAAACACACATTTTCTCTAACACTCATTTTCTCACTGCAGAGCACATGCACACTTTGGTTCACTTTCAGGGCATAAACACACACGCGCGCACACACACACACACACACACACACACACACACACACACACACACACACACACACACACACACACACACACACACACACACACACACACACACAATTAAAGGATCACTCTCAGATTAGAGACACAACAGTAAAAGCAGTGGACCTGATGAAGTGGCTTCTATTTGAGTGTTAAATAACAATGTTATTTATATCACAAAGGCTCACTTTATCTTTACAGAGCCATCCTGTCAACTGCATAATGCCACATAAATCTGCTCAAATAACACAGCTGTTTTCTGTTTCTCAGTGACTGGTCCTCATTGTGTTTGAAATGTTAAGGGTCAATGCTTTTAAGTATTCATTTTAAAAAAGCCTCCAAAAAGAAGTGTCTCCTGTATTTGGGTGGTAATTGCTTTTGTGGAATAGCTCAATATGCCTTCAGGCTAAATGTTAAGGTGCTGGCTATTTCCTTTGGTTCATTCTGTTCCCTTGAGTTTATCAACGGGTCTTGACAGGTGAAAGACTCAGACGGTAGTCATTGTATGCCAACACTAATTGCCCAGCTTCTTAAAAATCCCATTCCAAGGCAGATTAATATATGCCAACTCTGCTGTCTTATGAAACTAACTTGTCTAAAAATGTTTATTTGAGCTCGTACTGTGACTACACCTATAATAATGTCCTTTATACATGCTGGTATAAGGCCAGTGTAGAACAACCCTTTGCCAATAACACTCAGTCTCCCACAGAAAAGGTCAGTTATCACTTTCAGTTATGGATCATCTTTGAGTTAACTGAGCATGCCAACATAGATTTCTGCACAAAGTTTAAACAGTTAAATGATTTATTTCATTTTTCTATTTTTAAAGCAATTGAAAACACACAGAGGGCTACATTTTCAGGAAATCTTGCACTTCGTTAAAGGAAGGCTCCTGTTAGCACATACCATTTTGGCTGTGTATTTAAAGTGTATGTTCAGTTGAAATAGAGAAGGTAAACCAAAACTATTCACTTATCAATTACTACATATATAATGGACACCACCTGATGTGCCCCAGTCAAGAAAGTCTTCAGCCCAAAGAAGCAGGGGCTTCTTTGGACAGTTAACTCCAGCTGTGACTACTTCAGTTTTTGCTCAGCAGTGACAGGACAGAGGATTTTTGAAAAAGGGGACCTTTTTGAAAAAGCTGTCGATTCACTCTTTCTAAAGCCTTTTGCATAAATTCTTAGTGTATGCTTGTAGCTTTCTTGCCACCTGCCAACTTTTTAACATGTCAATGCTTGTGTACTGAGCAGCTTGATGTAAGGCGTGGCACAAAATCATGGCAACAACATATGATTAAGTGTCTGTCATAAAAGGTTGATGTAAATGGTTGTGACATTGTCAGAAGGCATCAATTTAATGCCTTAGTTGTCTTGTCATTTCATTCTTTTCCACTTTTATTTGTGTCACCTGCTTTGATGCTGTATAACTAACGCTGAGGTTGCCAAAAAGCACACTCAATCAACACCCAGCTTTTTTTTTATTGTAGTGTTTATGCCAATTTGAAGCCAGATCTGTGGGTGCCTGCATGAGTGTGTATTCACAGTTAAGTGCCAGACAGTTTTATAGTGTGAAGTAACTTACCCAGGCTGACAAGTGTACGTGCCACCCACAGGACATCAGCAACCAATGCGGGGAAGATCAGCGCACTGCTCAGAACGTTCCCATACTTCTGTTGGAAGGGATCCATCATTGTCACATACTTGTTCTCTCTCATAGGCTTGGCAAAGAAAAAGCCACCTGGAGCAGAGAGGAAAGGACCGACGTAAATTCATAACCTTTCTCTCAAAATGGTGAAGTCATCAGCTATGAAATGTGGCAATAATTCTGTCATCGAAAAGCTCAAAGGAGAGGGGGAGGAAGGGGAGGAAACAAGTGTGTTTAAACAACAAGAAAAATAAGTGTTCAATTCAGATAACACAATAAACACCTTCAGCTGAACTCTTGGGTCCACTTGACCAACAATGGACTCAGACAGAACAGGGAAGTTGTATTTCCTGGTTAGGGACTTAAGTGTTTCCAGTTCCCATTACTCACACCATACAGGCCATTGTGACTTTGGTGACTAAACACTGAATATTTCACCTGTTACAAATTTTCAGAAGAACTACTGGGTTTGTGCTTTTTGATGTGTTTAGCAGGGGTATTGCGTCTGCGGGTTGACTCATCCTTTTGCACCTGTTGCTTCAAGTTACAGTCCTTAACTGATTTCGCATGGGCCTATTTTTAACATGAGCGACACTTTTATTTGCACTCAGAGTCAGATGAGTGTTGAAGCTGTGGGAGTGAGTTGACTCCTTAACAACATTTTTCTTTTCAACATTTTATCCCAAAGTCTTGAGGAACATAGTCTTAAATTACAAACAAAATCAGCAGTTCTTTGCATACAAGACATGAAGTGAGTGTGAGTTTTCACATTTGTGCAATGTGAGGATAACATGCATGGTTATGTAAGTTCATGAACAGAGACACGTATCCATTTTCTTTGGCCCAGACTGCTCTCAGCTGACATCATTTCTCAAAAAAGACCAGATGGCTGTTGTTTATGATTCAGGTACTCACCTAAGAAAAAGGTCAGAACATAGGGTACAGGCATGAGAGCCCATACTGCACCAAGTGTCGGGTTGTATGTAGCCTCTGCTATACCAAGGATAAAGCCTCCGCCAACCCATGTAGCTGCAATGAGATAAATGTGTTGGAATTAGAAAAATAAACATGAACCAGGCTCTGCATAAGCTTAAGCATTTCACTGACTTCTTCTCAATATAGAAAGACAATTATTCTTATGGTGGGATGGACACATTTTCTGGCCTTATGTAACCCTTTTAATATATATATTTTTTAAATAATTTACAGCTATATAATATATTTTTAAAAATAATCAAAACAGTCTTGACTTAATTGAGTTTCGTGTTATTGAAATTCTTGTTTAACCCTCTCCCTCTGTGGCTTCTATCATAAAAGCACCCCAGTACTCAAGAAGCCTCTTCCACTGTTGCCATGCTACAAAGCCATGTTTTTCTGTTTGCAATGACACAATTCAAAATATGTGCTGGAGCCCTAATTCGACCCAGAAAGTTTTAAAATTGACAAAAAAATAAAAACCCAAACAAAGAGAATTAGAGATTCAACAATTTGTGATGTCATGAATTGTGCAAATCTCATAAGGTTCACTGAAGAATCTCATGTGTTTTTTTGCACAAGCTCTTCACAGCAGACTGGGGTCTCAGCTGAGGATTACCCCACATTAGATCAACCCCACAATTTGAAACTTTGCCCACATTTAGTACTGACATGCTACAATTTAACGTAATATTGACAAAGAAGTTAAACGCAGATTTACTTTGGAACCATTAGATTGGACAAAGTCTTTCCCAGTCAAAATTAGTAACTTTGCCAGCACATACTACAGGTAATCAGCTGAGTATTGCTTCCTCTACTTTACCAGTGAGAGTGAAGATGCCGACTAGCAAGTTAATATTGCGTCCAGCCAGGAGTGTGATCTCCATGCCATCTCCCGCGCACTTCTTCTCCTCTTTTTTAGAGCGCATGGATGCCCAGATTCCTGTGCCCAAGATGAGCAGGTAGAACCCCGCCATGACCACCAGACCAGGAACATTGAGAGCCATCCTCAGCTATTTCTTCCTGTTAAGAGACAGAATGAAAAAAAAAAAAAACATGAAAATTGGAAGTGCTTAAAAAAAGGTAGAAGAAATCTCAGCACTGAGTTGTTTCATTACTATGTCTCACTTCAAAGTACACAAACAGTCATGTATCCGTACATTTTCTTATTTACTATTTAAAAAAAACAATATATAGGAACTGCAGGAGAAAGGGGGCGGGGTAGGAATCTTTGCTTAAATTCAGGTGTCATGTAGGATGATCCTTGCAAACAAAAAGGTACATTCATAATGCACATGAAGCTATGAAGTGTGAATGATAAATAAAAAAAGAATTAACAACAATGATAGAGAAACATCATGTAATAAATGCACAACGGAGGGGGAGGGAGGTGAAAAAGGAATCGTCTTCTTTTCAGAAAGAAAGTGATGAAGAAAAGGCTGCAGTGACAAAAGAAAAGAGCAGCAGTGTTTGGATGACCTGGATTTGCCTGCTTGCTTGAGAGAAGAAGGATGGGGTGCAAAGAGTAGCTGGAGGGGGAAGGATTAAAACAAGAAGGTAAATGTGTAAGGCATGGGAGGATGAGGAGTTTAAGAGGCAAAAGGGGTCTCACCATAGTACTTTGCAGCACTGACAAAGATGGCGGACAGATGTTGTCCCCCGTCTTCAGTGGTTGGGCAGCCCGAGGTTCGACCCCAAACATCGGGAAGTGAACACAACTCAGAGCCAAGTTAGTGGGCACAAATGTGTGTCTATATGTGTGCAACTACTGTGACAGCACATTGGACGGATAGTTTTCTAAAAAAAAAAAAGCTTTCTAAAAGATGGGAAAAGTGCTCATCTTTGAATTCTGGCTTGCACCTACTTGCAGCCACTTGCAGCCACATTAACATGGCTTACATTGACTCCACTGTATCAGCTGCGTTAATGCAGTCCAGAAAAAGTGTGGAACTCAAGACAAAATTTCTTTCTGAAGTATCACAGTAAAGCAGTTTCTTAGAAAAAGAGTTTTCTTTATTATAAACAGAAACCCATATGTTGTAAACAAAGCCATCATTGTCACGGTGGAAAAAAAAGACATGGCCCTCGCCCAGTGTAGTGAAAAACACATTTGTTATACAAAAGCTTAAAAAAATCCCCTAATGGTCCAGATAATAAAACTCGAGGAACAAAGAATGTGTGTATAGCCACTTGGGAGAATAAGGAGAAGAAAAAAAGGAAGTGTTTGTGAAAGGAATGGTCTGAAAATATGGTTAGGAGGCTGTGTGCATGTGTGTGTGTGTGTGCGTGTGTTTATGCAAGGGCATGGAAGGAATGAGTGAGGGGCTGAGGGGGGCGGCTCTGCGCCAAAGTCAACAAAAGCCTGAAAAGCTCACTCACGTGGCCCGTGTGTTTTTCTGTGTTCTGTAGGTTTGGGCAGTCGGTTGTGGGCTATACATACCAGACATTACAGATTTCAAACAACATCAACAAAGATTACAGCACTGATATTACCCAGTGCAAGACATATAGGTTCAAAGAGAATCAAAATTGCAATCTGTAAGACATTACAGCTCATTGTACCATGAAGAATGCTGGGGGGAAACATGGGCCCAGAATTACAGTCCTCTTTTGGGGAAACTATACATTTTCCCACAACATTTCACTGCTTCTTCAAGTCCACTACAAGGAATCCTACAGCTGTACATTGAAGCTAGGATAGGGTTTAACAAGCAACAGACACATCACAAGAGCTCTGGATGTTATGGGACTTACATCAATATGTTTGCAAGACATTTGTTTGTTTATTTGAACCTTTCAGAAGCTCTAAATCTTTGTAGATTTGATTCTCTTATAGTCCATTAGTTCTTTATCAAGTAACTGGATCAAAAACTTTTTACATGCAGCAAGAAGCTCTTAAAAACAAAACAAAACAAAAGAACACATTCCTTACGCTTTGTAATAAACAACTGGCAGCACACTTCTGTTTTTTTTGGACACCAGCCACTGCTAAAATCCTGCTGTATATACTTTCTTCTAGAACAATTAAGGCCTGGACCTGTTCCAGGGACTAGTAAAAATTTTATGGGGTTTCATGCATCTGCAAGACTGGAAGTATTCTCTGTGGGCTACTGATATACAGTTGTATGTCCTTAAATAAAACAAGGGAACACAAGGAAAGCCAGTACTAAACACAGAGGTTTGACCAAGACGTCAAACTGCATAAATGTGTTGGAGAAGGCCTTGTGCCTCAAAATAACAAAAAGGTATGTTAAAAAGACAAAGCTGTCACACTACTGGTACGAAAGGTGCTTTTACTGAACCGTAAAGTTGTAAGTGTGTCACCATTTGACATTCAACTAATCAGCCTCCTACTAACATGCTTAAAAGCACATGATGTAAAAGGTCAACCAGAAGACTGTCAAACAGTCACAGGCTGAAAGGGGGGTCCTCACCACTTTTTATAGCAGAGGCGGTGCAAAGTCCAGATAAAACCTCAGCTCATCTTTAATGTGCAGGTAAATGTGCTGAGTGAATTTGTTCATTACAGCTGTGAATGTCTCCATTGTAAGACAATCCGAATTTTGGTGTCTTCATCTGCATTTATCACTTGTACTTTTTTCCAAAGGTTATTAGTTACTTAGTGAAACCCTCTAAACCGCTTTGACAAGTATGACTGTTTGTAAAGTTCTTTGAGCTGAGCAGGATTTTCACAGCTTATTTCAGAAAGTCCTGCACCTCTTTAAAGCAGTAGGAAATTTCACAGAGCAGAAAGACGCTCTTAGGCCTCCAGGGATATCCATGCCTACTGGCTTATATTTGAAATTAACAAAAAAAATAAATGAATAAAATGCTCCACTACTGCATATTTTCTACTTTTCACATACAAAACACACAAAATCTCTTTGTCGCCTTCTTCTGCTAATGCAGTTAAGTGGTTAAGGGACGAGCCAGACATTATAGATCATCTGCCTTCCCTCTGCGGGACTTTGTACTCATATTACCTCACTCCAGGCCAACACAGGAAAAGTACTCTACCACAAATACTGTAACTGATTCAGTCATACTTACTGCTATAACCCTAAGTCTTTATATTTTTTGCAGTCATTTAAGGTCTGGTTTTAATACACACCAAAGTTTGATCCAAGGAATTCCTTGAAAGTTAATATTTGGCTTGCGTACTCAAGGCAACAAAACTTTCTCTGTAGCAGCTGGAGGAAGAGTTGGCATACTTATTGGTTCTTAAGACACTAAAAACAAAATTTATTGTGGGTGAACAGTACCTGAAAGGGAGTTGCTAACTTTATCTTATCAACATATTTAAAGTCTGAGTCATATTTATCTGCAACTGTTGCCACATGCATCAAGCTTGACTCTCTTAAATGGCCAAAACTGTCGATAATTTTAGTCAATTCAAGAAAACATGACAAAGTTTTGAGAATCTTAACACCTGAGACAGGTACAGCCACATAACTTGGCACTTGGGCTGTCACATTATCAAATCTTCCCTTCCTGATTATCATGGTAATGTTAGCAAAAGAGAAAAAAGTGAAATCAGAGTGGCAAAGATACCACTTTAAGTAAACAGCTATAAGGACAGTTCGATAGTGTAAGTGTTCAATGTATTAGTAGCATTTTGTTGTTTCTAGATTCACAGAGAATCCCTAAACATTTGTTTTATGAGTCTCTTGACATTGCTTCTTTGCCTTCCTCTGCCAACTTGCATAAAGAACCACTACAGCCCCCTAATATGAACAAACCTTTGTTCAATGTTAGTCTATGCTTATATTTAGCATTTCTTTTGAAAATAGTGTCAATTGTGGTATATTGCAACAACTAAACTTGGCACTTAGATGATATTACTTCTGTAGGTATTGTCAGGTAAAGAGACATACTTTGTACATCATATATGTCTGTGGCTAGATAAATACAGACACAACATAGCCAACAGGGTCAAAAATCTGAATAAATAACATTGTCTTTCTTTTAAGTAACAGCCTCCACAACTTTTAATATCCATCCCATGCTGTCAACATGATTACCCAGTAAGGCACATGTTCACATCCGGCTTTTATAGACATCCATCATTTACCTGCCATATAAATCCAACCACACCAAACAACTTTAATAATCCCTTTCATACCAAGAATCAACTGTGCACAGTTTCTCTGTAAATGTCACCACACCAGTCTGCTTACTTGGTAATTTTCCATCATAGATCACATGTCCACAATGCAGGCACATCAGCAAATACTGTACTCTCAACTCCACGGCTGATATCTCTGAATGTGATCACATAAATACTGGATCTTTTTTCGTGCAAAGACAAATGTACTGTTACTTCATGCTGACTGTTGCAGCATGTAAAGAAAACCTTCCTCTTTCGGAAAGACTTGTTTTTTAATGTAAAGTGCGTTACAAATAAAATCTATTATTATTATTATTATTATTATTACATGTGATGCTGCTTTGATATTATCTATTGATATTCATTGACTGAATGTGCCTTTTGGCTGGGTTTGATTGATAGAAAGCTGGCACAGAATCAGTTGCCTCTTTGATCAGACTGTGTTTTGACATGACTGCTTTTCTCTTTAAATATTAGTATTAGAGTATTCTCTTTCATACAGGTGCACAAGCATGTCTTGGCGAAGGCTCAGCTACTACACTTTCTACTAATATACCATCTCCCTCCCTCACGCGCGCACACACACACACACACACACACACACACACACACACACACACACACACACACACACACACACACACACACACACACACACACACATCTCCTCATCTCTCTGCCTCTCAGTACTTTTCCGTTCCAGCCTACTCCTCTGACAACTGTGTTTGCTGTTTGCCTCTTGACCACCTCCACCCCCTGCATTTGGCAATTTGTCACCTAACGTTATCTGCTGTTAGAGAGAAGCCCTGAACTGAGTCTGAGACTTCGCTTTCACAGGAATGAGGGCTTTGAGACTTCACGTTAACCCAGAGCCTCAGAGAAATGCGACCTCTCTTTGCT